GGGGGGGGGTGGGGGGGGGAGGAAGCTTTATTTCCAAAAGGAGCAAAACTGGAAGGTAATTAAACTCAGCAGCATCCTAGAAGCCAACACAAGGCTTAACTTCTGAGTTCAGCTTGGACTGAAGCTCATGGTTGAAAGCTGATATGGGCTTTTCCTAGCGCAGGGATAGCTAAAGCATGGTCCAGCAGGGCTGTGGCCTGCATCTACTCTAATTTCAAATGCTGAGACACAGCATGGAGACCATGCAGTGACCTGATAAAGTGTGGAGAGTTAGGAGCAGAGCGGTGGTTTGCACGACGGTATTTCTGAGGGCCTCACCTCTATCTTAAAGATCATCTGGGTTAGTCCACCTTGCACAAATTGGGTTTAGCCCCGGCAGATTGTTAGTGTTGCCCAGGGCTGGGCAAGGTCTGGCTGCCCCTGTCGAAAAGCATGAAGCGTATCGGCACTCAGGTCTCACGCTTGGAGTAAGAAAAACTATTTTGAGAAGGGAAGAAAAACACCAAACCTCCTCTTCTACCTTTCTCTCCTTATGGTGCCCTGTTATGAAGGAAGGGTGGTCGAGTACCAAGACCCAAGACGTGCTCTGGTACATTAACACAGCTGAAAACATTATCAGCCACGGACGCCTTAACCTATGCTGCTTGAGCAGAAGTCAGTTTGTAAATGTCTAACAAAGGACACGATGGGCTTTTCTTTTTTCAATGAGATAACCAAGCAACAGGATTTACTTCATATTTTAAGAAATTAGACTATATCAAATGTGTAATAAAAATATTTTCTATCGGATTTTAAAATATATACATATATAAACTACCTTAATTTTTAATGCCCTGTTGATATTGATGTGGACTCTACAGTATCTAAGTGTAACTAAATGAGGCTGCCCAGCAACCTCCATTATACCTCAAACAGTGATTACAAAACTTGAAGCCTTGTCCACACTGTAAATTAAACCTGCTTGAAAACAGGATCTGAAATTGTCTGCTGGGCCTGATCCTGTACCCACTAATAGTCAAGCAAAGTCCACTCCTGACCGCAGGAGCTGGATTAGGTCCTAGACACAGTCCCCAAAAGACCCTGTTGGCTGGGCAATGATAAAGGCACCTGAAGGAGTTACTGAGAACCTTAAGGCACTTCCTGGTAAAATAAAAAATATTAGCTACTTTATTTAGAATATTTAGGGATATTTAAAAACACTCTTAAGACAATTTGGGCACATCTATACTTCATTTTGAAGAGGGGCCCAAACTGACTGTGCCCCGGACATTGCCTTTGCCCAGACACTGGATGTAGACTTTAGTCAAGGTTAAGGGAGGTTGAGAGCTTGGAGGTGATGGTGGAGCAAAGAGCATTCATGCCTGCATCCTTCCTACAGCATCCATCTCCATATATCCCTCTGGCCTTGCTCTCCCAGCCCATGTGGAGGAGGTAAGTTGGCACCAGATCTTTCCAAGAAGATGTCCTGTGTCAAGTGCCTGCAATGGCCCATGGAGCTGAACTGGCACTTTCATCAAAGGCAACCTAAAACTGGTGAGGGAGGTGGAGGGGATGTGGGCCAAGAAGCACAGACTACAGCCTGTCCCTAGTCCACCGATGACAGCAAGGACATGGCTCTGGGCTGTGCCTCCAACACCCAGCCAAACACAGTTTGCGTTCCTGTTTAATCTAGTGCTGTGTCTAAAGCAAGTTCAGACTCATTTTCCATACAAGGTTTGAAACACAGTGTAGACAAGGTGTGGGGGCCAGATCCTGATCTAATGTAGGCAAAATTCACCATTATCATTGGCCCGAGCACTTACCCTTGCATTATACTTTAAGGTAGGTAGCATGGGAGTTCTCCTGCTTCAAAGAGTTAATATAGGGGATTTGACCACCTGCAGAGGAAAGTTTCTCGCTGAGCTTTCGGTTCATCTGCTCCATGTGCCTGGTGTTTTTCCTGGCTTGCCGGAGAGACCTCTTGACTTTCTTCACTCGATCTCGCAGCTGCTTGTTGCGCTTCTCCAGCGTCGCCACCTTCTGCTGCAGCTTCTTCACTCTGTCTTCCTCCTCAAACAGGGCTTTCTGGACGGAGGAGCACATGAGCTGAGGGGACAGCAGAAGTGAAATAGCAACAAGTGAGCCTTACACAAAAACTTATTAAAGCAAGGGTTAATTCAGGTGTTCCTTGGAACAGCTCACAGCTCTTCAAAAGTAGAATGCTTTTTTTTTGGAACTTCTATTCTTTTTTTATACCTTCTGTATTCACGTAAGACCCAAAATCTTAGATCTTAATGATACTAGTGAGTCACAATTACTTTTATGAACTGTTTTGACAGACCTGTCCAGTCCACTGAGGCTACATTGAATTTATGGAGGAAGGCTGCCTTATTTCTGGAATGAAACTGGAGTTCAGGCCAAGGGGTGTCACTTTTGGAAAACTCTAGATTTGATTCAGTTAGCAGCTCTTCAGAAACTCCAGATTTTGATGTGAGCCTGCCCTTTGCTCTTTATGTCAACATACGAAATAAGGACGGCACCCGCAAAACACAGAACTGGTTGGTTTTGCCTTTTCAAGAACGGAGTTGTCTTAAATATCTCATTATATGGGCTTCTTTCAGATGAAACCCTACAGGGTAAAATCGCAGCAGTCTCTAGGAGCATTCAAGATCCCCTGACTTCAATCAAAGTGATTTGGTGGGGGCTCATTGGGTGAAAATCGGCCCTCCCATTTTACCCACTACCAACTTATTGCAATAAGCTCTTAATGTCCACTCATGCCTGTGGCTCTTAGATAGGCAAAAACAAAAAAAAAAAAAAAAGGATCTGGCTTCAAAGGTGCTGCATCCAAGGCATCACAAGAAAAGCAGCTCACAGGGCCTTTTCAAAACTGCTGGGTTGGATGATGGCCCAAATGCAAAACATCTGTTGGACAATTACTCTTCCTCTACTACCTCAGCCTAGGATGACCCAGAGGTCTATCTCCTCTCAGCTATATGTTAATTCCATGTTTTCGGTCTCATGTTTCTGACTTGCCTCCTGTTTGTAGGTGCAACAATAGGAACGGGATGAGAAAAACCAGCTACAAAGGCTGCTGACTACTTTCAGTGCAAAGGAGTTGTGTTCCTGACACACAGTGTCCACCTGGGACGGGATTCAGTTGCCTTCTCTTAAGCAGATAAAAGTGAGACTCAGCTCTGAGCTCCTCTCTTTTGGTTTCCCCTGTAATGTCTGCACGGAGAGACACTCTTCACGAGAGTGATCTCCACCTTCTAGGGAAGCTCTCAACACAACTCTCTCGTTTCACTGACTACAAAGGCACCAAGTTCCATGTTTTCTACCTGGGCAACATTTTGCAAGCAGAAAAAGAGGAGATGCCTGGGGCTCAAGGACAACCCCACCATAAAGTTTCTGATCTAAAGGAGCCACCATGGAAATCTATTTCTGCCTGGGGAGATGTGCCTCCTTCCTTTTTTTCCTACAAAAAGCACCCTGAGATATTTTATTGTGCAAGTGGGACTTTCAGCTGATCACTGCAGTGGTGCACTGTGAAGAAAGGCAATGTCTTCTGCTGGGCTTATCTTCTATATACATCTAGGGGGTTTTTTATGTGTGTCAGGCACTCCTGGAGCCTGGATGGGCTTTCTCTGGCAGAACATTTGGAACAGACAGGGAATCTAAATAAACAAGTAAATCCTCACTGTGATGATGAAGGATTACATGTTTCTTTCCATCTTACTTTGTAGTATTTTCAACAACTGGAAGTAGGAGAGGGAGCCCGCTTTGATGAATAACATTTCATTTGCTTTGGAAACCCCCAGCAGCTGAAAACCACGGCCAGTCAACACAAACAGAGCAACCGCTTCCAGTCACCATAAGCTCTGGTTTCTCGCGCAAAAGCACTGCAGGGTTTTGCTAAAAGGCAAATGCTTGCCCCGACCATCCTCTCACTAGGGTCCTCTTATACATGCATGCTAGGGAGAGTGGGAGCTCACAGATGAGGGCCAGAAATTGCACTGAAGAGGAGGGAATTTGGTTTTGATCACAGCTCATTCCAAGCGCTGTTTGAAAACAGCCAGCACCTCTTGGCTTTTGTGTTTGCCAAAGCCTTGAAAAACTTCAAGCAGAACACTTCTTGAATTTAAATCCCTGCAAAGGAGAGCACTGAGTTAGGAAAAGGTGCTTGTTGGGAAGACGGGAGATGGAAACTCCGCTTCATGAGGGATTTCTTGCATTTTCCATTGATGCAGCGATAGGCGTTGGCGTATGACAGAGTCCGATGCAGAGGAACAAACAATTCATGCAGCTGAAGTGTGAGGCGAACCCAACTGTGTCTCGTCTGTCTGGCCTGGCTGGTGCTGGAAGGGCAATGTCTGATGGCAGACATCAGGGATGGCAGTAGCCTTACCCCAGAGGCACTCCCAAACCTTTTGAGGTTGGTCCTCTGTCAGCAGTGGTGGTCCAGCTCCACAGAGCCACTCAGAAACTTCTCAAACACCACCAAAAAGCTAGCCAGATCATTGGCTCATGCTGTTCCTCTTCCAGGTCCTCACTCTCCAGTCTGAAACCCACAGTTTAGTGCTTAAATTACCTGGAGATTTCCAGAGAGATCACTGGAACAACACAGTTATAAAAAATTGAGGTACTGTCAGACATACAGAGCTTTGCTTACCAACAGGGCAGGCAATAGGAAGAGCCCAGCTTGATCGTTGGATGCCTGCCTGTAATTGCAGAACTACCAGCCCAAAAAATAACCTCTTTGCTCCTTCTGCATGGGGAAAAATAACAAGATGGAGTCCTCACATTCTCACCAGCTGGTTACAAACAGCATTTTTCGCCGAGCTCTGCAGCAAGGATGATGTTTAAATGCGAGTGCTGTCCTACCCTGGCTGTTACTGCCAGGGCTGCAGCTCACATGGGTGCAACCAAGTTATTTTTAAACTGGTGCTGAGAACTGCATAACAGCAGCAGCCTGGGGCTCAGCACAGCCTGTATAACTAACCCAGCTGCTGAACAAATGGGTGAGAAGTTAACCGGCCCTCTGTTCATATTCTACTTGAATACTTCTTGTATGCAACCAGATGAGATATCGCCACATTGTGCAGTCATTCCTGTGGAGCATATCTACGGACAGGAATTTCACACCCCATTTTGTCAGGTCTCATGCACCCGTAAATGTGCACACTTTGCACTTGATGACCATCAAGATCAGACCTTAGTCCAAAGGCATTGCTAAAAGCTATAGAGAACTGGAATTTGTTTCTGGGAAAGGCCTGTGCTCCTGTCCCCCACCACAGCTTGCCATGTCGGGTACACAAGAGAAGGTGGCAGGTTATGCAGTATTTAAGGGATAATGAAATCTCCATCCATGAGTCACCGAGGACCCGGTTCCACTTGGTGCCACTGAAGGAAAGGACGGGAAAGGATGGACAGCTGACAACTCCTATTCCTACAAGGTATCAACAGCAGGCAGTTAAGGAACAGCTCCAAAATGCTGCACTTAGCATGGCATGCAGGCCCACAGACCTCGGAAGTGGAGAGAAGGACCAGGAAACGGCTCCTCAGAAAAACTTATGGATTACTTTTCTGGATTTCCTTCAAAAGTTACATTCTCCAGTGACCCACAGTTCAGAAACATTTGTTCTGGAGATCTCTGTCTGCATGTCTGCTTGTTTCACAGTTTTGTTAGCAAGGCATCCTCAGCAGTGGTTAAACTCCAGTCCAGAGCAGTACCAGGAGATTTAACAGGAAAGGAAGCACAATAAGAACCATACAAGTCCTTAGGATTTATCCCAGACAGCCCACAGCTGTGAAACTACAGATTCAATATATTTGAGTATTTTTCTGAAACATCCTGTCACAAATATACCCAGTTTTAAGTTTCACCACATCTAGATGATTTACAAAATCTGTCCATCTGCCAAACAAATCAGCACTGTAACAAATCAAACTGATTTTCTGACCATCACATTACCGGCATGCGAGTCTTTTACCAAACACCCTGAATTGATGTATATACACATTTGTCTGATTGACAGACAAACACATCTGCTTTCTATAAGCTTCATTAGAATGGGACAGTGGTTAGAAAACGCTCCATGGATAAAGGTGCCATGGTAGTATGGCATCTGTGCCATCTACCACAAATTGTCCATAAATGGCTGAAGTTACTGTTACAGAGCTCAAGTCACTCAAAAACCAGCAGTGGCAACCAAGTTTTGCCCTTCATTTACTAAAGGGAGAAAAATCAAGTTCTAGGTAGCTCCTCATGCATGCTCCCCATGGGCAAGCACAGCTAAAAACCACTGGAGCGCCACTACCAAAAAGTCTTTCATTTCAGGTCTCCTAAAAATATCGTTCACATCAGATTGGTTTTGGACCTTTAGATATAGGGTGTCATCAGGCAAGACAATTGTGGGAATGTCTTTAAGGGTGTGACAGTAGGACCTGATCTCCGCATGGATGTGATGCGTTTTTAAAAGAACTGGGCGTGGGTCAGTTCAGTTTCTTGTCCTCAAATCTTCCTCCTGACTTGCACTGCTAACTGGAGCAGTGTCTAGATGGGATACTGCCTCAGCATCCCAGACACAGCATCTCCCTGCCACAACCTCTTGGGAGTGTCTGGTGGAAGAAATGAGAGCGTCTTTCTCGGGAAATGCATCCCAAGCACTGCGAGTTGGGAAGCACAGCTCCTGCTCTGCTGCCGAGCCTCCTCCACACTGCATCCCAGAGATCTCACCACATCCCCGCACCTCTCTCCTCTTGTCCTTCACTACTATAAATCTGCTCCGCAGAAAAGGTAAACACTGTCTGCATTTGCTGCATGTTGCCTTGCTACTCTGTGTTTTACCACTGTTCAAATTATATAAAACATCTTAAACCAAAACCTTAAGCAGCACAAAGTGCGTACCTCCAGCTCTATTTGTCTCAGCGCAGCAATAATTCGTGAAGTCTCTCTCAAGGGGCTCAGGAGCCAAACATAGCTCTTTATTTTTCTTTAACTCCACCAGGATTTATTTCCCCGATGCCTTCTGTGCTCTTAGCAAGATGAAGGGCTCTGTGCCCTGGGCAAGCTGATAAGGACATGATACAGATCACGCAGACGA